AAAAAAAAAGAAAAAAGACAAATGCAAACTTACCACCATTTCTGCTTTGTTTTAATTGAACTAGTCTTGTTCAGATAAGCCTGTCTATCTCTTACAGAAACAACAGTTTATAGTTTAAACTGTGAAATTGTGAGTGTGTGTGTGTGTGTGTTGCAATTATGGTGCCTGCTAACAATTTCATACTGCCACATTGCACATATGGCTTCCAAGCTAGCTTTATCTGAATCTTTGTGAATCTATTCTCCGTGCTATTAAACTGAGCACATTCCACATCGTTCAAAAGTAATTACACTTTTGTCTAGAGTGTAGGAGACTGCTCTCCCCAAACAATGAAATTCTCATTATTAGAGCTGGCACAATAACGGCACTGGTGTTCACAACACTGTGCATTGTACCATCACAATAACTTATCCTAAGCTTGATGCACAAAGGTACACTGGAAATTAAAATTTCTCTAAAACCACTGTGGGTTTTTTTTTTTAATAGGCATTCTTTAGCTCCATATAATTAGAGTCCTATTTGACTTTTCAAAAAGCTATATGCATTCAGATTTCCATTTTCTTTGCAACTTCTGAATAGTAGCTAAGTGCTCTAGCCGCCTGTTTTTCTGATCCAATACTATGCAAATGCTGATGACCCCAGACCAATAGGTGAAATACAGACGAGGATGTATGTGATAAGAGAATTCAAATTAAACAACATTAAACAACCTTTTATCTTGGAAAAGAGGAGGAAAAACATGAAGCAACGAGTTGGTAAGCTCTTTGACCAGTAGTAGTGCTGTTCTCAACATGACCAGAATGTCTTACTATTATTCCCAAATTACAGAGAAATAACTTCATTAACCACAGAAATGCAACATTTTTTTAGTGCGAAGCAATAAAGCTACTTAATGGCACACTGTAATATTTCCTATCAATTTAAAGCTCTGCTGAAAATGAATTCTAAATCCCACTGAAAGTGCAGGAGAAATCTAAGCTAAAATTGCACCTTACCAGTTTGATCTTTTAGTCAGAACTTCCTTTTCTTTCCCTTTCCCCTCGCCCCCACTCGTCATTCCAGTATTTGATGGATATTCTACAGTTAAGGAGAATGGTCGAACTTGACCACAGTATACCATGCCCGTAGTCTATTTTAATCAGTGCTTTTAGCCTTGACATCTCTTGCTGTCAGAAATTAGCAGACACCACTGGTGAAATGAGTAGTCTTGAGAGGTAGCAAAAGCAACATGGTAAGGCAGACAAACAGAAACAAATAACATAAGCCCTCATAACTTACATGAACTAACAACTATCTGTGCTGTCCAAACACTGTAGCCTTAGTATGTTTTTTCAAAAGAGGTACTGACGGATGCTGTAATTCCTCAAGTGTTTCCCTGCTAAGCTTACAGCCTGCTATGGATGTCCTAAGGGGACTCTTGGATAAATTTTAGGTCAAATGATTTGTCTTGTATTATCAACTGAGCCTTTGGTTTAAGTCTAATATATTTTCTTTTTTATCAGTGGAAGAGCTTTCCTACTTACTGTAAGCACCTAGTTTCTTCCATCAAGAGGAAGACAGTTTGGGATAGAGTTGCCCCTGCCTACCACAGAAGGGATGAGGCTGGAAGGGACCTCTGGAGGTCACCTAGTCAAACCCCCAGCTCAAGCAGGGCCATCTATTCAGTTGCCCAGGACTGTGTCCAGACGAACAAGAAGGAAGACTCCACAACCTCCCTGGGCAACCTGTTCTATGGTCAGTCATCCCCACAGTAAATAGTCTTTCCTCACGCTCAGATGGAGCCTCCTGCGTTTTCAGTTAGTGCCCACTGTACTAACCTTTCTCTGGCTTCAGTTCCAGCATCCTCAGAAATACCTGTTCATTTTGATGGGAAGGTGGGTTTTGTAGTTTTTTGCTTAGGTTTTAAGATTTCTTTCTAGGGATTCTGCCCTCCTTTAAAAAAAAAATAATTACCCAACATTCTGAGCTGTGTGTCTAAGTTGGCCGTTGTTACAACTTGGGAAAGTGCAACAGGGTAAATTTTCAGAAGTCTCAGTTGGATAAACTGTTGAGTTATCACTCTGGTGCAATCAGCCCTTTGCCTTAAGGATCCTACAATGTCCCAGCTGGCCTGACTTGTAAAAGGAAGCACAGCTGGAAGTAAACTATGAAACAGGGGGCCAATTAGCAGTTAGGAAAGTGAAGCCAAGAAATTGATTCTCAAGGTTGAAATTGTTTTCCTAACTGTTCCTTCATGACCCAGTGCTGAGAGGCAGAATATAAGGAGGCAGGGATGGCTGTCGTAACGAGAGGAATTCAGCTACGCAGGCTACTGATAAGACAAAGCTGTGTAATTCCGTACCTTTTACAGATCCCTTGGCAGTGGCTTGCTTGTGCTGGGATTGTTCCCCAAGCTGAATGGGTGTTGTAAATGTAGCTAATACAGAAAGACTTCTCTGGATCTATACCTCGTGTACCTAAGAACCCCTTTGGAGAAGTACCCTAGCCAACAATCACACACAAAGCAGGATAGTTTAGAGGGGTAAAGCAGAGCAATGCACTACATGATTCCAGACTGACTGTACATCTGATCCTGTCTTACTGGACATCGGAGTGATCTATAAGGGTGTACCCTGCTAAGGACAGCATGTGGCTGCAAAATGAGAACTCCATAGTCACTTGCAGACCCAGTCAGTAGGTGTAGTAGCACAGCTGACAAGCTATTAAGAAGTGTGAAGCACACTGCTAGAGCTTTATCAATAAAACTGTATTGGACCGCACTGTGTGGTGCACATGTGCATACAACTAGATTTTCTTCCCAGAGACTACGAAATAGCAGAGCATGTCAATTCAAACAGAATAAAAATGACCTCTGTAATGCTACCAAAGTGAATATCCTTTGGGAATGACTTTTGTAATGGCTAATCACTCACACTGAAGTAATCTAAAAGTTATCCAAGAACCAGGTTCAGTTACTTCCTTCTTATAACTACGTATCAAAACAGCAGAGGGAGTGATTATGTATATTTTACTCATTTACACTGATCACTTCCCTCTTTCTGGAGACACATAGGCCACATCCTTTCTGACCTACCTGGATGATGATTTTTACAAGACACTCCTCACTAAAAGAAAGATATTACCAAAATGTCACATTCACAGAAGCGGGCAATTTTCTTAAATATGGATGAAGACAAAGCCAGTCCCTACAATCTCCCAAACACATTACAGATAAGCCTACAGCATCTCACTACTACAGCAAAACTGTCTAAACCATGCAATAATCCAGTATCTTGTATTATAAAGAGACATAACACACTGTTTCGACATCACATTAAATATAGCCTTCATAGCAGGAAGTCACACTAGATGATCAGCTAATCTTCTTGGTCTTAAAAACTATAAAAAAAAAGAACTTACTTAGTTAAATTCAGTTGGAGAGCAGTTAAGTAACTTCAGTGAGGGGCAGATAAAATACTCCTGTTGGTATCCTTAGAAGACAGCGAGGTTTTATTTCATTAGGGTCTGATTCTACACTACTAGTGTCATTACTAGTTTATCTATTGACGTAAATGTTGACAGAACAAACCTTTATCTGCAGTACACTCTCTTATAATAGGCCAAAATACAGCAAAGCTCATACACCAGTTACATACCCTAACACCCCATTGGCTGGAACTGTATATTAATGAAATCTGTCTCTATAAAACATATGATAAACGATGGTAAGTAAACAAGCTAGTAAAAGATAACGATATGTCTGCCCATGAGTAATTTTTTCAACAATGTTCCTTCTTCATTTAAAGTTGCAATAACACAAAGTAAAATTAAATATTCCAAACCACTGTTTGAACTTAATCATTAGACCAAAAAAGAAGAAAAATGGATCAGGATCAGTGAGTTATTCTGTCTAGGAGAGTGACTATCCAGTGACTTGGTCCTATGAGAAATCATAATCCCTACAGCTTTTTACTCAGGGCTTGTTACATATGCGTAATGAGCTGTAAGGGCTTAAACACCACTATGGAGCTGTTGCAGGCTTTTATGAGAATACACTATCACCTGTTTTGCAATGCCTTTTTAAAAGCCTTCAAATATGCAGGTCAGTTCGTTATCTCCACTTAAAGTGAAATTGTCAGTGCCTTTGTCAAAGTGGAGGACTAAAAGAAAAGTTACAGTCGATTCGTAAACAGGCAAGAGCTGCATAAGTGTATTCGCAAGAGAAAGCTTTGTCGAGGCGCCTAAGTCCTGGGGTTTCAATGCCTCTCCCTGCACACTTCCACCTTTGTAAGAATGCATCACAGTACTCTACATGAAGGGCCCAAGCACATGAGGTTATGATAGTGACACCAGCGAGGAACATGGCATTGCTTTTTATTTATTTATCTGCTTTCAGATAAAGCCAGTTCTGGTCTTCAAGAGGGCTGCTAAATGCAATGAATTAAGTGCACAGTGTCATTTGCAAAGTGCACAAAAAGGTGGGAATTCACAAGTGAAAAAGTGGTAGGCTAATTTAATTCCAAACTTTCCTGTAGGTATCTGTGGCATGTGAAATACACATCAGGCATGATTTTTTTTTAAAACCGGCAAAATCCAAAGTTGCCTTTTTTACCCTTTATACAGACTTCCGTGCCTTAACTATTGCATAAACTTGGCATTGGGGTGATAGTTCAGACACCATGCCAAATATGACTCTCACTTACAGTGTGTTCCAAAACCATTTACTGTTTGCAGAACACATACAGTTCAAATCCACATCGCTGCAGCTAAAAAACCTTAGCATCCTAAATGCCAGCAGGCAAAGGTGAGGAAAAGTGGGGTTTGTCCTGCGAGTGATTTAGCATTTGTAGTGGAGGGTAAAGGCAGTCCAGCTAGGTCAAAGCTTTCACATTATTGTAGTGTGTTCTGTACGTGCAACTGTGCATTGTATACTCCATAAAGTACAGATCTGGATGCCAAAGTACTGTAGAGGCAGAATTCAAAGAATGGATGTAAGCACAATAGACCATTAGCAAACCTACCATTGTGTTGTGCTGAGAAGTGGGAGTCCTATGGCCACAGTTCTCTTGCGTCAGCAGAGAAACTGGCTGAAATTCCTCAGAGTGAGGCTTGTTGGGAAAACTCACATGCAAGGGAAGGTGAAAGGCTGGGAGCCCGTCACTCTCCTCTTCTCCCACTTTCTGTCTGCTTGTCACCATGGCTACCTCTCCATCTGCTTCCCCATACGGAGAGGCTGGTCGCTTGGAAGACATCCTGGAAGGAACAAAAGAGGAGAAAATAATGAAACCTCCAAATAAATCCTTAATGCCGTCATTGTGTGGTTAGGGGCCATTGTAACAGAAATGCCTTTTTTGTGCTGGCAGAGAGCAGGAAACCATCCAAATACCACTGCAAAGCATACACAATTGGGAACAATGGCCAAGCAGGTAGCAACAGAACAGTGACTTGTTTGTTGTGAGAATAATACACTAATACAGCGCTCTCTTGTATTCTGGCTTCTTAAACATGAAAATTCACCTAAGAAGACTGTATAATGAAATGCAATTCCTTTAAAAAATACCCATCTGGTTTTGCATTTGCAAGAGACTGTAAGAAGATAGAATGTCTCCCGACACAAGCTATTGTCAACTTAGCTTTTAAGGAATAAACATCCACATGTATTTAACCATAACTGATTAAAAAAAGAAAAAAAAAAGAAAATAGAATACAATACAGTAACTTGCTAGCAAGCCAAAACCTGTCTTTATAAAACTTCACCCATGTGAGCAACAGAGTACTCTAGTCATGTTACAAGAATCTTTTCAGGTTCACAGATCTGGGACAGTTAAGCAATTAAACATTTGGACATTAATAACCTAAGCTTTTGACAACACAAATTCAGGGCTGTACTAAGTAAATGAAGATTTGTTTCAAGGTACCCTATACTTCCCACCTACAGTCAGATCAGGAAAGAACACATGTAAATGTATTTTCCACCTATTATATATATAAAAAAGAAGGATACATAGAGCATACACTGTAAAAATCATACAAAAATCCTGACTTAAAGTCCAGGCCCACATTCTGAATTTTTTGAGACTTTCTGATAACACTGTTCTGATAGCACATGCGTATCTTCAACTTTTTGAAAGACTGAAATTACTCTTATTTCATTGAAAAATGCACTTTTCATCCAAACCAGGCAGTACTGAAGATTTTACAGGACAATCTGAACCCAGAACATTTCCAGCTTGGTCTTCAAAATAGAGGGGTCCAGTGAAGTATTAAAATGCAGACGACTTCTGGGATTAATTACAGCAACATTGTTCATGAAAATCAGGGTATGTGCATTGATGGCATAATGGGCCACTGTGCTAAGCAGGGGCATCTGTAATAAGGAGTAGAATGAGAAATAAGAAATCCTATAGGCATAGTCAAAAGAAGAAAAGTAAGTAAAAAGGAGAAACATTTAATAGAAAATAGGAAGTTATGAACAAGAAAACTGAAGACTATTGTATGTAAAAAGTTGAAAAGGGAGGCTAAAGTAATACTGCTCCTCCTCAAAAATCTAGTATTTATGATTCTAATTACCCTATTTTGATTTTCCACTTCACAGTTAAAGGACTGCATTTCAAAAGCCCAGCAGCCTCTTGAACCATGTGTGGGGCTGCTGTGAGGTGGAGCATGTCCATACGATTTGGCATATTGAGCACGAAATGATACTTAGCAGCAGTCAACTGGGTCTGAAAACAAACAGTGACTTTAAACAGCCCTTTGTTAGGACTTATTTTGCTTCTAATGATCTCATTTTGAGCTTTGCTTCCTGAGCCAAGTTAGGTTATATTAAAAAAAACCCAAAAAACAAAAACCAAACCCAAAAAAACAAAAAACCAACAAAACAAAAACCCAAGAACAACAAGAACTCAGGCAAAAAAATCCATACCAGAACCTACACTCAGCTGCACATTGCCTGTTCTGAAAACTACCTATTGCCTGTACACAGAGAAGCAATCTGTATTTTCTATTAATGTTTGACTTAGTCCAACAGACTAACGCTTCATACATCCTACCTGAATTCTGTCTTCTAGGCTTTCCCACCTACGTGTCTGCAGCAAAGCATATGTATAAAGACAGAGATCACCACATAGACTCTTACTGGCAGTTTTCTACTAGCCCACTGAATTCAGCATTTTGTAGCTATGTTTGACATGACAGATCCCAAGCTTTTCTTCTGCAGAAACCATGCAACTCCCTCCTGAAGTTAACGTGAATTATTCATATTCTGCATTGCACCCCACCAAGATATACATTTGCTATCGATTCTGAGTGTAACATTTTGGTTACTCATTTCAGCACTGCCTTAATAGAAACCTGGGTTTTTACAAAATCTTGCTTTCTGAAAATCAGAACTAAGCAGTTGTCTCAATTTTGGCGAACAAAAAGGGAGGGACACAAAATCATTAGTCAATTATTCCACAGTAATGTTCTATACTTTAGGACATTTATATTTGATAAGATGACCGACAGTATTGTAAACCATCTACGAAAGTCTCCACTACAATTCAATTTGACAATAAAATACAGAGCATGCCTTGGTTTGCATTGATGATTTATTTGTATTTTTATATATATATATATATGCACACACATACCCAAATTTTATTAAAAACTCCTACTGCTGTTAACCCAGAATAATCCAAATTCTGTCATGTTGCTTCACAAGGAGATTTTGACTAGCATGTTGAAATAAAGCTCTTCTGCTAACTTTATTAGTGAATATGCAGTTTCCTCTAATGTGCTCAGATAGCACGCTGCAGGTCATCATCGCCTTCTGCTTGTCACTGCTCCCAACCAGGATGATATCATTTTCTGCAGGGAATTTATAAAAACAGACAAGGAAGGCAACAGAGGTGACCACCTCCATGCACCAGCAATAGCAGAGACTATTATGATTTTGATCTAAAATGAAAATCTATGGGTTGGACTGTAGGCCAATCTATAGTAATAGTAGAGAAGAAGAAACTTTTTCCTTCCTCATGCAGCTCTTAGAAGATCCATTTTAAATCACAAGCCATGTGACCATCACAATGCTAGAAGGCTAGCAATTTCCTAAAATGGCTAAGGCAGAGAAGTTAAGGATCTAATCTTGGACATTAGTCTTCCAAGTGACTAGGTCACTCAAAGAAATGGATGCACAACCCTAGATAAGGATCATACAGCTCAAATGATGACCACAATTTGTTTTCAGGTAGCAGCATCCATAGCCAGTGTGTTAGGCATAATCTGGCCCTTCAGAAATCTCATCATCCCCTTTAACATCAAATGCAAACATCAGAGTTTCACAGAAATTACTTATTCCTCATGAACATCTGCAAAATTTCCACCAGAAAATGGAAGAATTAAATAAATAAACAAATCCATATCTTCTTTTGGAAATGTCTTCCAGAAGGACACTAAGTCTACAGCAGCAAAGGATGAAATCTCTTATAGGCTCATGAGCAGAAAATCACATGATACAAGATAAATTCATTCACAGATGGTCTTTCATTATTTTTATAGCTTTACTGGTCCCTTTTTCTAAATTTGAAATGCTCTTCTTTTCATACACCTTCATTTTCCTATTGATCTAACAGTAGGTCTTAACAGATTCTGTATCTGAGATGCAAGTAAAGTTCCCATTACAAACAATAACAAAAGAGAAACAGCTAGAATTCTGAGTAACAATGTTATCTGAAATGGAGCTCTTTTAAACAGATCTAGGTCTCGAATTATCCCATCTTAACAAAGGACTGCAAAGATCCTGGATCTACCCTCAATGATAACATGACAAAGATCTTTTCCTCAAATTAATTTAAATTCAGAAGGGTTTTCAATTACACCCCTTTGAAAGACGGTTTACAATGAGAAAGGAAACATCACTTTCCCCAAACATCAACTTATGAATAGGATTAAAGAAACCCAAAAAAACCCCAAGATACAGCTCTAAGAAAAGTAGCAATACGCTGGACCAGATTCTGAATCTAAAAAGGTATCTCTGCAGATGAATTCTGCTGCAACTTAAGACTGCAAAAAGAGTTGGGGTTTTTTTAACTGCCATTAATCATCTCTACTGAACATAAATAGCTAAATAGTAATTTCTTAGACAACCTAATCTACAAAGTTCAGACACAGTGGGACACAAGTAGTACTCAGCCCACTGTAGAGACAGATTTAAGTTATGAAGGGTATCTCCATGCTTGATTTTTATCAGTGGTTAGGCCGGAACTTAAGATGAATTCAAATGCAACCCTGTTTCTTAAAAAGGGACTCTTTCTTTCTGTTTTTTAGAAAGGTTTCTTAATATGCAGAAATTGTAGTTAAAAACATGGTTTTTGTTAATTTTTCATTAAATAAATGCTTTTCCTGGTAGCAAGAATGTTTTTTTTTTTCCACAGGGAAGTGGAATCTCACACTCCTAACTCACTCTTAGCCCATAAATATTTGATGCAATTCATCTTACAATAGCTTCTTCACATATTTCTTTAATCCCATTCAATTTACAACAGACTCTTTGTAGGCTTAAACTGATACCCTGTGTCTATTGATGTCAGTGGTTTTGGACTGACTTCAGCATGGCTGGATTTTCCTACTGGAGAGCGTTAGAGCTACACTTTGTCCACATGAATTGTTTCCTCATGCCATCACAAGTATTGGTTCCATACAAATAATTTCAGGGGACCAAAGAACTTTTTTTCTTTATTCCTTCAATTCAGTGTCTCACAAAAGTGAGGATCTTTCCACAGCTCTGTTTTTAAATTATTATTAACAGAATCTCATTTAAGTGACCCCACTACAACTCTATTTGTTCATTTGGTTTGGTTAATTTCATAGAATGATAGAATGGTTTGGGTTGGCATGGACCTTAAGATCATCTAGTTCCAACCCTCCTGCCATAGGCAGGGACACCTCACACTAAACCATGACATCCAAGGCTTTGTCCAACCTTGCCTTGAACCCTGCCAGGGATGGAGCACTCACAACTTCCTTGGGCAACCCATTCCAGTGCCTCACCACCCTCACTGTAAAGAACTTCTTCCTTATATGTAACCTAAACTTTCCCTGTTTAAGTTTAAACCCATTACCCCTTGTCCTACCACTACAGTCCCTAACGAAGAGTCTAATTTCATACATGATTGAAACCCAAAATAAATCTCAAATGGTATCCAGTATTCAAGGAGATAGTGCCCTCTAGCATACAATCAGCATCCATCCCAATGTGATCGTTCATG